TTGAAATGAAGAATCTGCCTGGCTGGTGTGCTCGTCGTTGACTCCGTCGGTACGTAAAAATAATTAACTTGTTATGTTCAATTTTGAAAAACAAATAACTAAGTGACCACTATTTTCAATGTTGTATGTGACGTAATGTAGATTGGTATCCGACGTAAAAATATTAAAATGTTTAAAGCAATAATAGTCACAATGTCAAGGATTAGAAGAAAAATTAAGCCAACAATCATCTTTCAAATGACTAATGACCTTTCGAGTTTTTCAGTAACTTTCAATGACCGAAATGCCAGACGACCTGTCCAAATGTCCAAATGTTTATGATGCCCATGATGTGGAAGGATGATGTCTGCAAACCTTATCGCACTATACTGGAGCGATGACCTGGGGCTGGCAATGTATTGTGCCCCGAGACCAGCTGATGCTATGTCAGCACTCAACAGTACACTCTGCGCACCGCGAGTGTGTCCCCATCGGTGACCGTAAGCGCAGGAGCGCTTAGTTATCAAACGGCGTGCCAGGAAGAACACTTTCGAATTGAACATCAAGACGAAAGTGGCCGCTGTGTGTTCTAAAAAGTGAAAAGTCTTAGTGATCATTGAATAGTGCAATGAAAAAGTGCAATGAAAAGTGCAATGAAGTGTGCAATAACGTGTGCAGTGAAGTGTACAGTAAAGTGTGCAATGTATGTTGTGATGTATGATCGAAAGTCAATTTCATCTGCAAGTATGACTTGCTCATGGTGCGTTGCGGACTAATCATTTCCTGTTCGTTGTTTGCTTTTATTGTTTTGGAGATTTCGAGAAAATTGGCAAACCTTTCATAAATTTAGGTTTTGTGCTGGCATATTTGTGAATTTTAAATGGACTTCTTTGAGAAGACTTGTAAATTTTTACCTTGACTTGTATTCTGACACTAATGTGAAATTATTGTGACTTGGTTTGATAATATTTTGTTTTCTTTTGGCAAATCTTTATCTCGATTTTTATGTTTTGTTTTTGTTTTTTCGATTATTTTTTTTAAACTTTTTGGCGTTATGATTTTGTTTATAGCCCTATCCTGAATCTGATCTGCAAGGACTTTGAAATATCCAAGAATTTGTAATGTAGGCTCCCAGTTTATCTCTGACTTTATATTCTCCTTCATATCGCATACTGCCTCAAGAGTAAATATATTGACGGGGGCGTCAATTTTTTGGACTTGCGTGATGTTGTAGGCAAGCGAAGGGCGACTGACCGCCAAAGTGCAAACTCTGCAGAATGCCCGCGCGGCTGGACGCGAGGCCTCAGCCGAGCGGACAGTCGCGACGCAGCCTCCAGCCAGGGCACATCAGGAGGATAACTTATTGTTTGGTAATGTAATGAATTAGACTGATCCCACCGGTTAGGTAACCTTTAGTATGTACAGCAGATCAGACTGAGGGGTAGGGCAAAAAGGGTATTTGGCATGAACCCAATAAATAGTACTAAAGTAATAACTAACTATGGTGTAGCTAGTAACTCACCCTAAGACCCCAGAACCCCCAAAGAACCAATCATATCAATACTAAAACATCGCGCCTGCGCGCCTGTCGGCCTCAGGGTAGGCAACGC